GACAGATGAGCCGGTCAGAATGAAGAAAAGAGGAGGGTGGGCGAGGAATGGGACTAGAGAAGACACAAGAATTCGCAGTCTCTTGGCTACCGACTGCTGTGCTTGGCTGACTTCTGATGTTCACATTCTGTTCTGTTTGTGGGAACAATCCTTGTAGCATTTTCAAAGAGATGGTTGCCGCTTTCCCTGCAGCCCCTGCTGTTGATATTCTGCCCATACATGGCATTGATTTGTTCATGCATCCCGGCCTTGCGGCTGCTCATTGCTTCTTAACGAGCATACGAGGTTCTGAGATGAGATGCAGGAGACGATGGAGAGAACATGGCTGATAGTAGCCATGTCGATCTCACCTCTGTTCGTGTATTACATCCTAAAAAAGATAAGGAAAGTTGTGATCCAATGGGCCCTGAAGCATGCGTACAAGGACAACCGACATGCGCTGCTCGCTCTCAAGTTGTTGGGAGGAAAGAACCCGCCTCTTGACGAGTTTCAAAGTTTGCTCCCTTCCCTCCCGGTTCCTAAGTTGAGCTCGACTCTGAAGCAATGGCTGGAATCCGTTCGTCCATTGGTGTCCGAGGAAGCGTTCCGGCGGGCGGAGGAGGCGGCGAAGGAGTTCGAGAGCTCCAAGGAGGGAAAGGATCTTCAAGTGCAGCTGGTGAAGCGATCGAAGCAGTGCAGCAACTGGCTGGAGGACTGGTGGGTCCAGTTCGCGTACCTGCGGCAGAGAGTTTCTCTCATGACCTATGTCAACTACTTCTGCACCGACAGCTCGGATTTTATCTTCCGTGAACCGTACACGTCTGACCCGATCAGGTATGGTCTAGTCCGTAGGTGGAGCACGAGGGACAGGAGCAGTAGTTGGAGGACGAGCTTGTAGTGGTTGGAGCTCAGGGAGAAGGAGCACGAAGCGGGACGTGGAGTGCATGACACTTTGTTGCAGGAGAGTTGTAGATTTGATCGAGTCTGCTCTGGACTTCAAGCATCGGGTGGATCACAACACTTTGCGCCCGCTGAGGATCAAGAACGTGCTGCCTGTCTGCATGAAGGGCATGAACAAAGTGTTCGGCACAACTCGATCCCCGGGCGATGATTGCGATGAGCTCAAGACGCACATCGTTCCCGAGGATGGCGATGCGCATGTGCTGCTGATGGTGGGAAGCAGCATGTTCAAGCTCCCCGTGCAGGTGGGAGGCAAGAGAGTGTCAAACTCGAGCATCGAGCAGGCGATCCGCGAAGCCACGCGAGCAGCAGACTCGCAAGGGAAGAGCGAGTGGGGAGAGGGGAGGCATGCTCAGCCCCACGTCTCTCAGCTCACTGGATTGTCGAGGAACAAGTGGGCGAGCATGTACCGGGAGATGGTCAACTCGCACGAGGCGAACAAGGAAGGCATCCGGACGATCGAGGAAGCGCTCTTTGCCGTCTCCCTGCTGGAGGACTCGGTTGACTCCGGTGACCTCCACCAGTATGTCAACATCTGCTTGCACAACAGGGGCAGGCAGATCTGGTTCGACAAGTGCTTCACTATCCTCGCCTTCAAGGACGGGAGGGTCGGCTGGCATTACGAGCACACATACGCTGACGCTCCTGTCCCCGGGCTCATGTGCGAGCATGCCATGGTCAACGGCAACCCCAGCTCAGAGGACATCCGCTGCTATCCTCGCCCCCTGCTCGCCTTCTCCGATGCTCCTGTCTCCGCGTCCCCAATCCGCTGGCAGTGCGACGCCCTGCCTGGCATGAAGCAGTGGCTGCGGGAGGCGGAGGAGGAGACTCGTTCGCTGCTCTCTGACTTTGACATCCGACCCTTCTACTGGCGCAACTTCGGAGCTGACGTCATCAAGAAGTGCTCCATGAGCCCTGACGCCTTCTGCCAGGCTGTCTTGCAGGCAAAATATTCTACACCCCTAGCCTTCCTTGTCTCTCCCCTCCTCTCCTCTGCTCTCATTCCCTCCTCGTTTCTTCCTGCTAACTCTCTTCTCCTTCCCTCCTCTTGTGCTCTCCTCTTCTCCTTCCCTCCTTATTCACTGTCTCCTCTTGACCTTGTGGACCCACTGCATCCTACCTCCTCCAGCTCACCTTCAGCTGGACTACAACTGAGACTAGACGGTGCGGCAGGTGGTGTCGACCAGGTACTGGGGCCGGGCGGTGCTGACGTACGAGAGCGCATCCTTGCGAGTCTTCGAGGGGGGGAGGACGGACACGATCCGAAGCGCCACGAGCGAAGTGTGCGAGTTTGCGCGGGAGTTCGTGAAGGAGAAGAGGGTGATGGGCTGCTGGGTCGCTGCTGGGGGAATTTGACAGGGTGCAGGAGGTGGAGGAGAAGGAGCTAGCGGCGAAGCTGCGGAGGGCTGGACAAGTTCACTCGAAGATCACGAGGAATGCGTGCAGGTGGGAAGGGAGGAGGACGAGGACGAGGACGAGGCGTTGGGGGATGGAGGGGGGGGGGGGGGGGGGTTTTTCGAGTAGGGAAGGGAAGGACGTCATAGGGACCCGGAACAATGAGGGGGTTGAACAC